TGCTAGGGCTCTAAGAAGCGGGTAAATGCTAGTGTGAACTTACTCGTCTTACTGAAATTTTCTGCAAGTTTTTTCTCACAGTCTTCACATATTAAATAGTATCATCCATGAGTTAATTTTTAGGTTTGAAAATGCTGAGCTTTCTTCAGCCCAATTCCTATTGCCTACCTGCCGTCCTCTTCCTGGTTTCATGAAATTCTCAGTTTCTTCATGGTAGTCACAAGTACATATTTTTTGACCCCCCCTTTCTCATCTTCTACATTTGATTCCCCTCGAGTTGGTGTTGGAAAGCCCTGTTAAGAACGTTTTCGACTTTGCTGATCCTTTTTCTAGTCTGGTGTTTCAGTCATTCAGAGATAATTTCAGTCACATTAGAGATTCCCAGTGGGCTTGTGGCCTTAGCAGAGTATTATTGGCACTCCAGAGGTGAGAAACTTCTTGTGGTTTGGAGTTAAGTATTGCTCACAGCCCAGAGATGCTGTTTGTGCTTAAATGGATCAGTTCGTTATTCTGATTTCCCATTTTAATTTGTGTGCAGAATTTGGGTAGTTTTCTTTTTCTCATGACTAATTTGGATCTTTTTTAGTTTCTTGTTTAGAGAATGGAAAGAGAAGGTATCTAATCTTATTTTCCTGAGAATCTGCTTAGTCTTCTGACATCCCCTTTTTAATTCTGATTTCCTGATTTTCTTAACTCTTTTCTACCCCCATATTTTTGGGTGATGTTCCTGATTGTATATTCAGCAGATAGAAGACTTTCTTCCTTCATAAGATTGGTAATCTGACCTGTGTATGTATGCATAATGCAAACATAAATGTTCTGTGTTTGTGAATTTTTGTTAGATTAGATGCTTGGCCATTTTCAGTAATTCATCTGGGGAGGGTTCCAATAATTTTGTGTTTTTTTTTAAGATTTTTATTTATTTGACAGAGAGATAGTACAAGTAGGCAGAGTGGCAGGCAGAGGGAGAGGGAGAAGCAGACACCCTGCTGAGCAGAGAGCCCAATGCGGGGCTCGATCCTGGGACCCTGGGATCATGACCTGAATGAAGGCAGCTGTTCAACCGACTGAGCCACCCAGGCGCCCCACAACTCATTTGTTTATAGGATTCATGAGATGGTGGGGACGCCTGGGTGGCTCATTTGGTTAAGTGTTCAGGTCATGATCTCTGGATTGTGAGATCGAGACCTGAGCCAGGCCCGATACTTAGGGAGCAGTCTGCTTGAGATTCTCTCCTTCTCCCTCTGGCCCCTCACCCCCATAGGTGCCTGTGCACTCAAGTGCTCTCTTGCTCTGGCTCTCTCTCAAATAAATAAATAAATAAAATATTTTAAAAAGGAATTCATGATGGTAATTATTATGTTCTTAAGAAAGGTGTTCAGAATATTATTAGATAATTGGAAAGCTCTGGGTAAGCTAAAAGTTTTATGCCTTTGAATAAATCCTCCTAATTGATGGTCTAGCATGGGACAAGTTATTTACCAGTCAGTGCATTTGTGGGTTCCTCTATAAAATTTATGTTGGACAATATTGCTTTTGAGTTACAAAATTGCATTTTATTAGGGAGCACATACCAACATCCAAATTCTTCTGTTCCAAATCAGGTTAACCTGATTATCAGTGCATTTGAAACTGTTGTGCACCAAGCCCATTTTTCACTGAAGTAGAAAAAGCTGCCTTGGGCTGATAACCTCAGTGGGAGAGACAGTTGGAGATACCCTCTTTGAATGTCTCTGGCTTGCTGAAGTCAGCTGGACTATAAGCTGTGTAAAGGTAGGGGCCTTGCCCATCTTGCTCTCTGTTCTATCCCTAGTCTCGGGTTGAGTGCCTAGCACATGGGTAAGTGCTCATTATTTGTTAAATATTGGTTGAATGCTGACCCTAGGGCATTTACACACATTGTCTCATCCAATCTTCACAGCCAATCTTATCATTGCCCAACTTTGTAATATAAAATATACGCCATCCTTCTGATACAAAAAATTCAGTTTTATAGATGAGTTAAGCAGACATAGATGCATAGCCGCTTGTTCAAAGCAGTTCAGCCAGGCATAGGAGCTGCCTCCAAACAAAGCAATTTTAAATTTTACCATTTTAACCATTTTGCAGTGTACAGTTCTGTGGCATTAAGCATATTCATAGCCATCACCATCATCTTGGCCCGTGCCTTTTTCCTCAGTTACACTGCCTGCCTTTGTTCTTCAGGGTCCTTTTGGTTTAGTCTGAAATCAAATTAAAAACTTCTTTGAGCAAAAACTGGAGGAAACTGGAAGTTTAAACTTTCAGACTGGGCCGAATATGGAGTCCATGTTCTTCCTTTTCCCATTTCCTCAGCCAGTTCTTGTTGGCTAATAATAGCTGAGTGTGTTGATTTGAACAGGAATACATGCACTCATATCTGCTTGTTCTCACACTGAGTTGGAGATGTTTGATCTATTTCTGCCAGTGGTTGGCCCAGTAAGGTGGTGATCTAAGTGGTCCAAGTGCCCAGAAGCTGTGTACCCACATTTTAAGTTGTGTACCTGCCGAATGGGTTAGAGCGCCACTGGGCTAAAGTCCACACTTGGCCTTGTACTTGGGAAATTAATTTGCTTTGTCATTCTCCACTCCTGCTTCCTGCCAGGAGTCCAGTTCACTACTTTCGGTTTCACTTTGGGCTTTAAAAGTGTTTCTTAATCTCTCTCTGGCTGAATTACCTATACAGAACAGGTATAAATAAAATAGCTTTGTTGGCTTGGCTGTGGGGTGAGTTGCGCTGTGTGAAACAAGATTGGAGGCGGCCGGATCTAAGTAGGATAGCTGAACGTGTTCATCTTTCTACTGCAGTGGTCTTGAGTCCTTTCTGATATCAGGCAGAGCCAAGTAGTGAAATATGACACATGCTGGGGATGAGAATTGGCAATTGTCCTGAGTGCACAAATAGTTTCTTCCCTCCCAAGCATATTTTACAGCCAAGTGAACAGAAAACAATTCAGCAGGCTACTTGCTGGAGTTCCTGCAGCAGAAAAATTACCTTTATAAAAGGATGGACACATAGCTTTTACAAAAAGTTTTCAGAAGAACAAAATGCAGACTAGGCTCACTTTTCTTTTCCTCATTTTGTCCCTAATTCCAAAATGTAAGGCTGATTCCAGATACATTCCTAGGGCCTCTTTGTCGGTGGTAGAGGCTGGGCATCCCCAGGTTTGATCAGTCACATTTAGCTACAGAAGGAAGTTGCTGGGAAGACTAAAGTCCAAGCCGTCCTATTGAATGGTCAGGCAAACAGGCAGTTTGGCCCCTGGTCCAGCTCTGCTCCGTGTAAATTTTATCTTGTACACACACAACAGGCAGGCAGTTGTTGGTGGTGTAATTCCAGTCATTACTGACTAAAATGACAGGCCACCATTGCATGAGTCTTGACCTGAGGCAGCTGCTCTAAATATAGCCTTCCTTTCTGGCAGCTGCAAACACCTGGAGGAGCAGGCAGGCCCCCAGCAGAAGAGTATTTGCTGTTAATAGTATGTCTGTTGAACAGTTATATACTGTCAGAGCTTATTTCATGCTATGTTTGTGCATAATTAAAAACAACCCACTGAATCCATTGGCTTATGGTTGGGTTATGTTTAGAAAAATGCAGTTTGTGTTGTTGTCTGCTGTGGGGACTGGAGATGATGTCACTAGTTTAAGTAAGATCTTAAGAGGAGCAGTTAATGTAATTACTAGCAATTTCTTTGATCTCTTTAATGAACGCAGCTTGCTTAAACCCCTTAGTGGCATTTGGTTTCTGGCATGGATGAATGCACTGTCAGTCATGCGTTTCAGTTCAGTTAGGGGCTCTGGTTTGTGTGCTTGGTAGTTCCTTTCGACATAAGGGGGTTTATGAGTAATTAAAAAGAACACCATCATTTACAAAATGGTGCTTCCAGAACAGAAACTACGAATGGCTCATAAACATGTAAATGATCCTTAACCTTTTGTGCAACGAGAGAAAACCGTTTTAAGTTCTCAGTAAGATCTTATTTTTAACCTGTCAGATTGACACAAATCCAAAACTTTGGAAGAACACTGTTGATGAGCAAATGGGGAAATAGACACTCATACTTTCTTGGTGGGAGCAGTAAGTGTACAACTTTCTGGAGGGAAGTTTAGAATGTCTCTGTTAAAACCACAAATGTATACCCTTGGACCCAGCAGTAGTAGCACTTAAAGGAATTTATCCTACAGATACACTTGCGTGTATGTAAAAACAGTGTTTGCTTAAGCGTGTTTATGGAAGAATTAAAGATTGGAAGCAAGCTCAGAAGTAGACATAATGATGTATCTGTACAATGGATACAGCCATAAAAAATAGGATATTCATTACGTATTGACATAGGAATGTTTCCATGGTACTAAAGCAGAGGGCAGTGTATAATAAATATGCGACTAATTGTGTAAAAGGGGGAGAAATAAGAATATGTATTATTTGCTTGTATGCGCATAAGGAAGTTCTGGAAGGATGTTGAAGAAAGTAGTGTGAGCAGTTACATGTGTTTATGTGTGTGTGTGTGTAGGAAAGAAGAGAAAAGATGGCTATTTTTCACTGTAATAAGACTTCTTGAACCATCTGCATGTGTTGCCTTTTCAAAAAAATTAAATAATTAGAATATCTTTTAAAATAAGAGTTTTTTTGAATTCCCGTCATGGTTGTAGAGGAGCACTCTCTTAATTGACTTCCTTACCCATACTTGCTATCCTTGTGGGTAAGAGGGACATTTCCTCATCCTGTTACTGATGGTGCTAATGTGTCTTACTTTTTACGTGGGCACTTGAGAGGAAAGTGCTGCTCAAGTTTGTTGGTCTCGGTGTTTTTCCTGTTGATCCTCAGAATCAGTGGCTGTAAAGATTTATATACCAGGAGCCTTTGTTTCGATACCAAACTGTGAGAAACAGGCTTTTTCCATTTGTTTTGACAATCAAGGTAATATACCCTGCACAGGACTAAAGTAAAATCTTTTGCCTTTTCTTTCTGTTTGTAGGAACCTACAAGCAGCAATTGGCGCCTATTATGACTTTGAGAGCCCAAACATCAGTGTGCCCTCTATGTCGTTTGTTGAAGATGTCACCATAGGAGAAGGGGAGTCGATACCTCCTGATACTCAGTTTATAAAGACATGGCGGATCCAGAATTCCGGTAAATGGATAATGGGCAGTTCTTCATTGCCCTGTTTTCTTTGTTTAGTAGTTAAAACAAACAAGGAAATGTTTTAGCTTAAGTTATATACTTTTGTAACTCTGAGCTTTTTCTTATACATGATGTAGTACTGTTTTTTTTTGTTTGTTTTTTTTTTAAGATTTTATTTATTTGAGAGAGAGAGAAAGCGGGAGCGGGGAGGAGGGGCAGAGGGAGAGGCAGGAGAAGCAGACTCCCCACTGAGCAGGAAGCCTGATGCCAGGCTTGATCCCAGGGCTCTGGGATCATGACCTGAGCGGAAGGCAGATATTTAACTGAGCCATCCAGGCACCCTGATGTAATACTTTTTTGTACTGGTGTGATGACCAAACATCAGTGAAATGTCCCCTGCCCTAGATCAGGAAAAATAATTCAGATCTTTTTTTTTTTTTTTTTAATTTAGGTCTTGATGGCCTCTAAACAATTCAATATTCATTTGATACCAGGAACTAGGCCTGTGTGTGGTGGTGGTATTATCTCCACCTGTACAGTTCTACTCCGTCATTTTAATTCTGCTCTAATTAATCTTCCAGTTCTTTCCAGCAGGCTAGAGGAGGTACATCCTTGAATAGAACAAGGTGGTTAGAAAGAGCTGTGAGCATCTGCTCTTTTGAAAGCTCTTTTCTTTGTAGGTGCAGGGATGATTCTTTATGAAATTTCATTGAGATATCTCTCTGAAATGTTAATACCAACTTTGAAAAATAGGGTAAGAAATGTGGGATTTGCTCAGAATGGGAAAGATGGAAAGATTGAGAATTTTTTAGAAGCATTGTTGTAATATACTGCTGACTTTAAGAAAAATTAAAAATAAGTTAGCAATAGTTCTTTGAAAAAAGGATCTGAATATGTGTGGTAACAATTATTACCTTTTGCTTGTTAAATTCTTTTGTAATGACTTTTTTCATTTGAGTGGGTTTAGTGTTGCTTGTCTCATGCAATAATTACTCATGCTGCTGATCAGATCAGGATGCTTTAACCTCCTTGTTACCGAGGACTTAACGAGGAATTCTGAGAGATGGAAACTAGGCAGAAGGCATATTTAGCTAAAAATCTGTGCGTGTGGGGGAACCCTGTCTAGCAGGGTGATCTGATGTGAGTTGATGTAATAAACCTGTAAAAGTGACCATTTATTGACCATTTACTTTTTAGTTCCTTTTACTTTAATTTTTTTATGATGGAGAAAGATTGACTAAGCTAGCCTTTTAAATAGTAATTAATGTACAAATTGTTATTCTTTGTTTTTCTGACTTAATTAAAAGTAACTCTCCCTTGGATGAAAGTTTAGTGTGTCACTGAGGAAACGCATATAATCTGGATCGATCCAATGTTGTAGATGACTGGAGACATTCGTGGCTTTATAAGATTTTCATTAGCTTCTTTTCCCTTTTGGTTGTAATGGTGTAGGGCATTGTTTGTTTGAGAGACACTTGGCTATATGGAAAAGTAGCCATGTTTTCTATTTTTCTTGAAGTTCTTTTTTTCAAAGCTTAATTATTTTTGCCTTATTTCTTTCCTTTTTGGGGGGTTTAATTTCTTACTTTTCCTGATGTGGGCTTTTAACAATATAAAATAATCCCTCTCTTTCTTAAGATCTTACGTATGTATATATGTATGTATGTGCTCAAGAGTGAGCACACATGGGGAGGGGCAGAAGGAGAGGGAGAGAGAGAATCCCAAGCAGACTCTGCACTTAGCAGAGCCCATCTCAGATTGACATGAGACTCGATCCCGTGATCCAAAATCATGACCTGAATCGAAATCAGGAGTCAGGTGCTTAACTGACTGAGTCACCAAGGTGCCCCTGAAACAGTCTCTTAAGTTCAGCATGTTTTTTCTCTGAATTACTAAAACCTGCTAAGTTGCTAATCAAAACTGCTTTTGAAACTTCACATGAATTCACTTTTATTTAGTTAAAAAAATTAAGACTTTGCTTATAGTGAAAACACTTAAAATGGCTGCCTTTCTCTGAATTCTTTATAGTGTTTTTAAATATTAAAAGTTCTTAGAGTACCGCTGAAATATTTGAGATACTCTTTTGTCACAGAAATCATTTTTTATGTCAGAAATCTCAATACATCTGCTCACTCACCAGGCAGTTCTTCAGTTAATGGGGGATTGGGAGGGATTGATATAAAATGGTTAAATGTCAAATCAGAACCCCAAAAGCCTACCTTTCTTTCACATTGGAGAAAAGCTGTGTTGGTGGAGCTGGCTGTTTTTTCCACTGGGTATTGCGTGGAATGTCCAGTTTAAAACAGCCTCTGGATCTGCAGTCTCTCTTCCTGTGAAAGGCCATTCTTGTGCCTGAACACTTCTTGAAGAGTTGGGCAACAATTGGCTGGCAATTTTACCCTTCAGGTTACTTTGAACACATAGTTTTTTTTTTATCCTTTTAAAAGTTGTTCATCCATTTTCAAATAGTTTTGTATCTATCAGCTACATGCTTACCATTTGATTAAGGAGAACCTGGCCTTCTATAACTAAGCGATAGGTATGTTAGTAAAGAGAAAGAGGGAAAGCACGCACATGTACTGGTTCTTCATCATCATTCTCATCTGGCCTATAAGTTCTTTCTGGAAGTAGGGTAACTCAGAAATACAACAGGCCTTAGCTATTTCTCCTCTGGCTCTTTTACTCTCATTCATAATCTTCTCTTAAGAGAAAAGTGCTCACTGAAATAGTTTCATAAATAATTTTCATGGTATCTCTCTGCTGTCATGTTTTAGGCATGCCAGGCATTTGAATATACAACAGATGAGATTGGCAGGAACTACATATAGCTGTCCCAGCAGTTTCCCCAAAGAAGCTAATGTCACACATTGTTTAAAATTCAACTTTTAAGACCATGGAAAAACAGAAGCCAGACATTTAATGACTTAGATGCGGAATCCCAGGATCCAAGCTTTTGGCACCATATAAATTTTAGAGGCTTGGGAACCTTGAACAGGAAACCTTAAAATTAAAATTGAAAGTAAAAATTTGAAACTGCCCCTCCAATGTGAAAAGGAACAATTTCCCTCATCAGTGCTTTAGCTTCTTATTTGTTACAACCACCCTCTATTGTGCAGCCATCATGAATGTTAAGCTGAGCAGGTTATGGCAACACTGGTATTTCTTGGACTTTGGCGAAGTAGTTGGTGATTGTCATGTGAGGCACTGGCTTCACAGTCAACTTTATTTTTTGTGAACATAAAGCATGAGTTGAGAAAACTTGAAAAAGAACAACTGTTTTCTCCATTTACTTTTGGGTCCTTAAAATAGTTAATTTCTGTGCCTTTCTCTTCAGCTCAACTGTAGAGAAGGTAATTCTTCTTCATCCATTTAGCAGATGTTATTATATTCCAGTCACTTTACATCAGGTATGGGAAGAAAATGGTGACAGGATCAATGACATTCCCTTTTTTGCCTGCAACTCAATTTGAAATGCAGTCTCCAAACTTCTAGAGATTAAAAAGAATAGGGGCTCTTCATTAAGGTTTGTCTTCCTCATTGATCTTCGGATGTTCGTTATTATCTCCCAACTGTTTGTGTAATCACTTATCCCTAGTAAGTCAAGGCTTTCTGGAACTGATGGACTTTTTTTTTTTTTTTTTTTTAAAGATTTTATTTATTTGTCAGAGAGAGAGGGAAAGAGAGCGAGCACAGGCAGACAGAATGGCAGGCAGAGGCAGAGAGAGAAGCAGGCTCCCCGCCGAGCAAGGAGCCCGATGTGGGACTCGATCCCAGGACGCTGGGATCATGACCTGAGCTGAAGGCAGCCGCTTAACCAACTGAGCCACCCAGGCGTCCCTGGAACTGATGGACTTTTATTTCATTTTTGCCATGTTCTCTGTCATCTCAAAATTGCCATGTCAGGTGTTTTTTTGTTGTTGTTTTTACTTTTTTTTTTTTTTTAATAAAATTATATTCCCATGATAACTGAAGAATCATAGCCTTGATCATGTGTGTTTTTGTGATACTTAACTTGGAAAATCATAAAACATAGGTTAATCTTTCCTTTCTTCTAGACGTATCTGTCCCCCATCAAGCCAGTTTGTAACTGAGACTTAATTTGAAGCCCTGTTGTATTACATTTCTCAAATTCAGATTTTAGGTATGCTGATGGTCCATATAGCTCAACACTATTTCTCTTCCTCCTCCTTTTTTTTTAAGTTTTATTTATTTATTTGACAGATCACAAGTAGGCGGGGCGGGGGTGAGGGTGGTAGCAGGCTCCCTGCTGAGCAGAGAGCCAATGCTGGGCTCCATCCCAGCACCCTGAGATCATGACCTGAGCCTAAGGCAGAGGCTCAACCCACTGAGCCACCCAGGTGCTCCTCCCTTCCTTCTGTATTAAGAACTGGTATCTTTAACCCTTTTAGAGTTACCTGACTTACTAGACTGTAAGAGCTAAATGTTGTAGTGAGCGCTTGGTAAGTCTTAGAAGGTAAATAATTGGTTCTTCACTTTATAGCAAATTAACACCTTAGAGTTGACGGTGGATAATTCATCCAATTTTTTTCTCCAACAAGCTCTCTAGGCACCACATGAATAAAGTGTTTGGCGTACTAAAAAATTAGATCAGGACCTTAGCTGCATAACTTGTTAATCACTTAATGTTTACCAACTAACTTGGTCTCTGGGGAGCATAGAAGCACTCCCTCTTTGCATAGCTGAGAGCTCTGACTGCCTCAGCTGCTTGTGCTTGTCTGCTCAGGACGGCCAAGTATTTCCCACACCCAGACAGTCTTGGTTTTCCTTACTTTTTTAGAAGTTCAAAAACAGACACATTCTTGGGTTTTCATACAAACAGTTGTTGTCTTGTTACGGGTGTTGTGCGTCTGTGTGTGTGCATTTGAAAGAATAATTGTGAATTCACCCCTAACACAGCAGTTTAATTTTCCTCCTGGATCTGGGTCTTTAAAGAGACTGACATTTTCCAAGGTCCTCCATGCCAGCTGCTACTATTCTTGACCTCAGACAAATACACTTTCGCCAAGACCATAGGCCCCAGAAATGCGGAACAATTTGCATGTCTGGCCAGGGTATCATCCACAAGCTTTCCACCAGCAGCAGTTGCCCTTTATGGTGTTAACTTAAGAAGGCACTTTGCTGGCAGGTGTGTTTTTAAGTGGGTCTGACAAGACACTGTGCCAACTGCTTCTTCTGCCACCCCTTAAGGTGCAAGAGGCACAGAGTGTGCTGCTCATTACGGGGCTGCAAGCTCAGCCGTGGAGCTGTAACTGCCTTTCTCTCTGGTTCGCTTTTCACTGGGTATATCAAAACCAGTCTGGCACTTTGAGAACAAGGAACCAAGGCATCCTAGAATACTCTCAGGAGACACATTTCAAGTGTGCTTTGTCCTTAGATTCCTGCCATGTCTGCCTTTTCACGGTGATTTATTTTTATAGTGGATGTATATATACCCCCAAAAGATACAGAGGCTTCTGTCTACAGTAAAAAGAAATATATTGGAGAGACTTCACTGGAAAGATAACCTCTGGTCTCTCTGTGGCCCTGTGACTTGTCAGAACAAGCCAATATATGGATTGCTCATTTTGAATTAGTTTGCATGGAAACAGGTACACAGAAGGAGGGACCCAAATAAGATCTTTATCACTCCCAGAGGAGGAAAGACATTCCTGCCAGTGCCTTGTCCCAGTATTGCCATTCCTGTCCTTTGTACCCGTACCTCTGGCTGGTGTCATCAACTCTGAGACCACAGTTCAGTGTCTTGTTACCAGGGGAGTTATCCCATTACTGTTTGCACCTGAATATGAAACTTTCATTTGACTCCTCTGTCTCGTATATGCAGAATCTCTTGCACCTTGGTCTTTTCATAGTTAAGGACTCCAGAAGGAAAAGTCGTACATCAGGGGAAATATTTTAAAATGAAAGGAATATAGAAATTATCCCTCACATGTTTCATCCACTTGCCTTGATAGAAAAACTGGGGATAATCAGATGTATTTTTATTTAGAACGTGAGCTTAAAAAGTTCTCGTGAAAATAAGCATGTGTTACCTCCTAGTGAAGAAAACAGGCCTCCAGAGATGTGGGTCTGTGCTTCATTTCCATGGCTCTTCGTGAACATCATTCTCAGATTCCATGGATTCAGTGTAATGTGTGACCTCCCCTGGGGTGCCCTGAAACGCATCTTCTTGAGGAACTGCCTTGCTTTGGTCATATGTGCCTTATCTTAGGGATAGACTGTTGGTCAGAGGTTGTTAACTCTGATAATTCCTTCTGGCCAGTCTTGTGACATTATGTAGCTCAAGGATATGTGGCTGTGTTCACGTATGTGCGAAAGAGAGAGAGGCCTCTTCTACAGTTTTGTAATGAACTGCACCCATCCTAGGACCACTAACTGCCTAACATTTTTTTCTTTTGCTTGAACTCAGGGGCAGAGGCCTGGCCTCCAGGGGTTTGTCTTAAATATGTCGGGGGAGACCAATTTGGACATGTGAACATGGTGATGGTGAGATCGCTAGAGCCCCAAGAGATTGCAGATGTCAGCGTCCAGATGTGCAGCCCCAGCAGAGCAGGAATGTATCAGGGACAGTGGCGGATGTGCACTGCTACAGGACTCTACTATGGAGGTGAGTATGTCCTTGTGCAGCCCAGGGTGAAGGAATTAAGGTAACATCTTACAGCATTCCCAGCATTGCTCACAGAGCCTGTCGCATGACATAAAAAGGTGTGGCCTCTTTCATCTGTCACCCCGTGCAGGCAAATGACTTGAATTTAATGACCACCTAATTGGGTCAATCTAGTGCTCTCCCTTTTACACTGGCACTTTAGTTAAAATTTAGTGAAGTGCGTGAGAGATCTATATCATGCATCTCTAAACAGCGATTTAGTAGCTCTGCTCTTTTTATTATACAGTCTAATAGGTGCTGTAAGAATACTGAAGGCAGTCCTGTTCTCAGAGTCTCTAGATAGAAGTCCTCTAAAAAAAGATAAAGCACAAAGTGTGTGTCCTTCTCCCAAGCAGAGTGCCCGTCAGCACCTGTCTCCTCTTTGTTGCCGTACTCACTGAGCAGAGTGAGCTGCGCTGCCTCTTCTTGCCTTTTTTCGTTTGTGCGTCAACCCTGTCCATTCTTTACCCACTCCAGAGAAATGAAAAATCAGAGACTACCTGGTTTCCAAATCCAGCAGCCACTTAGTCTTTGTACTAATTGACCCTCTGTCATTTGACACCATACTCCACAAATGCTTTCTGAACTGTGTACCTTCCTCGACTCACCGGATAACTGTCTTGTTTCTCCTCCTCTGATTGATCTTTCTCTGTCTCGGTCTAGTCTCCTGTTTGCCCCGGGATTGTTAGATTCTGAGCTGGGTCCTGTTCATGGTCAGTGACCTCATCCATCCACATGGGTCAATGGCTCTCACCATTACAGAACATAGCAATGTTCAAATTCATATCTGTGGCTGCGGACTCTCTTTGGAGCTCCAAACTTGTGTTTTAACTGCTTATGGGCAGAACACTTGGATATCTTGTAGATTTCTGAATCTTAATGTCTCCCAGGCAAAACTTAACATTCTTCTCATCAGCACCGCGTTGAGGTGATGAGGCAGGAACCTTGGAGTCATCTTTTGTTCAGTCTCAAAACTGTTCTTCATCACAAACCAGTTCCTGTTGATTCCACTGTATCCCATGTCCTGGTAATCCAAAGAAAAATAAATAGTAAATAGTTCCTGTCTTCTGGGAACCCTTAACTGGACTCAGGGCCAGTGGGGCCTTTGGCATAATTTCAAGGGGTCCTGGAATTAATGTTCTTCTATATGTTGTTGCAGCCAGTGGAAACTTTACATATTTTTATAGCCTTGAAAAATTTTAATGTTAGAAAGGGTGTCTCATAGTGCTTATATGACATTATTCTTTGCCTAAAACCTTCGTGCCTACTGTACTGAAGCCCAGTTCCTTGGCATGGGGCTTAAAGCTCCTCACGATCTGGCCTCGTTTTCACTTTCATCGTCAGTCTCCTCTTTACTCCCCCACAGCCAGTCCCCAAAGACACCACATGCTTTCACTTCACCATGCCCTTGCTTGTGTTGTTCCTATTGCCAGAAATATCTTTTCTCTTCTTTCCAGTAAACTCCTGCTCATCCTGAGAGCCCTGATGAAATCACCATTCCTCCCTCCCCTTTCCCTCCTTGCTTACTCTCCTCATGACCCCATGGAAATTTTTCCCTCCTTTTTTCATTAATGTTGTACACGGGCTTGTTGTTATACTTCACACGTTGTATTTTAGGTGTTTGTTTACTTACCTTTCTCTCCTACTAGACTGGGAACTATATGTTGAATGACAAACGAATGTGCAATCATGTATCAGAATGTAGGATTTGTCCCTTCCCTTCCGGACTCTCTTTTCAAGCCACTTCTTTTTTTCTTTTTAACATATAATGTATTATTTGTTTCAGGAGTACAGGTCTGTGATTCATCAGTCTTATATCATACCCAGTACTCATTACAACACATACCCTCTGCAATGTCCATCACGTAGTTACCCTACTCCTCACCTGTCTCCCCGCCAGCAACCCTCAGTTTCTTTTGTAAGATTAAGAGTCTCTTATGGTTTGTCTCCTTCTCTGCTTTCATCTTTTCATTTTTTCTTCTCTTCCCCTATGATCCTCTGCCTTGTTTCTTAAATTCCACATGTCAGTGAGATCATATGATAATTATCTTTCTTGATTGACTTATTTCACTTAACACAAACCCTCTGGTTCCAACCACGTCATTGCAAATGGCAATATTTCATCCTTTCTGATGGCTGAGGAATATTCCACTGTCTATATATACCACATTTTACCCATTCATCTGTCGATGGATAGTTTGGCTATTGTGGACATTGTTGCTGTAAACATTGGGCTGCAGGTGCCCCTTTGGATTATTATATTTGTATCATTGGGTATATACCCAGTAGTGCAATTGCTGGGTTGTAGGGTAGCTCTATTTTCAACTTTTTGAGGAACCTCCCCACTGTTTTCCAGAACAGGCCACTCCTTCTAATAACCTTTGTACCTGCACAGTTGGAAGTACAGTTGACCCTTGAATAACATGGGGAATTAGGAGTGCTGACACCCCTGCACAGTTGAAAACTTTGATTCCCCAAAAACTTTACTGATAGCCTTGTTGAACAGAAATCTTAACCAATAACATTAAGTTAATTAATACGTATTTTGTAGTTATATGTAACATATATTGTGTTCTTATAGTAAAGTAAGCTAGAGAAAAAAATGTTATTCAGAAAATTGAGAGCAAAAATACATTTATAGTACTTTCTTGTATTTATCAAAAAAGAAAAAAGAAAAAAAAGAAAAAATCTACATATAAGTGGACCTATGAGGTTCAAACTCACATTGTTCAAGGGTCAGCTAGTTACTACCACTGCTGAGCTCCCACTGCATTTTCTTCTTCTCCCTCCCACCCCCCATTGCATTTTCTCTGCACCTCTTACTCCTTTGCCTCTCTTTGGCACTTTACCTCTTTCTCCCCAGTTATTTGATGAGTGTCCCAAATACCTTTAAAACTTAAGGTGATACATGTCTTATTTTTCTATGTAACTTCAAAAAGCTGAGCGCAAAGCAAAGTGGAGATTTTTTTAAAAGAATGCCAGTGTTTTTAAGGGAGGAGCATGACCACATATGTGACTTAAAAAAAAAAAATCCCTTTGATGCAAAAATAATTGCTTCTTACTGTTCTCTAGTGTTTGAGATCTCTGGTCGTGTGTGTGTGTGTATGTTTCAGTGTTAAGATAAAAATAATTATCACTGTTTTGGCCACTAAAATTTATATTTATAACATTCCCTCCAATTCTAGAAGTAGTTGGTGTATAAAATATACTAGTTTTGGAGGCAATAAAGAATTTAAAGCCTTTCTTGGTCATATAATCTGTGATTTGTTTCTCAGGATTTTGTGAAATCTAATACTTTCAAGAGATCTTAATAATAGATCTGGCTCCATGATTTTCAAAGCATTTTTAAAAAATCAATAGAACCCTTTCCTTTATAAAAGCATACATGAATGCCCCCTCAAATAAAGGGAAAACCTAAAAATGAAACTGGTTTTGTTGAATTGGGAGCCTTCTTAACCCTTGTTGCCTGTTCAGATGACCTCTTTCTTGTGCTGTGTGGTATAGAGTTTGCAAACAGTTCATCTTCTCTGGTAAAGAATTTAATTTCATTGTACAAACTACTATTTTGTTGAATCCAGATTACTCTTGGTTATAACACATCTTGATAGCAGAGATGGTAAATTTCTGGCAGAATGTGAGTATAGTATACATAAAACCACAACTATGAACACGTAAAAGAAAATAAACTGCCTTGTTAACTGTGATTGGCTCTTCTCAGTTTTTCTGTGAAGTCTCACCTTGCAGGCTCATAAAGTGTGGCGTAGTGGGAAGAGTTTGGAAAGTTAGCTTAGGTTGCCTGGGCATAAACTTGGACAAGTTAGGTAACTACTCTGTGTCTCATCTTTCTGTCTTAACAACAAAGCTTGTTTGTTTTGTTTTTGGTGGGTGGTCTCCTTTACAGTCTTTAGATGGTCTTCTCTGGAAAGAATCATTTTCTTTATTTTTATAAAAACACTTACGTTTCAGTTCATTTCTCTTCCTCAAAAGGAATTTTTGCTATATTTAATAATTTATAAAGTGGGTCCCCTCCCCCCATTTAAAGTGGATTGTGCTCTCTCAGAGTCTCTCTCGAGAGGTGCTCTTGGCGTCTTATGTGGACAGTTCTTCATTATGTGGGTCATGTGTATGCGACTCCTGGCCCTCTCTCACTAAATACTTTAGCTTCACATATTCATCTTTCCTGGCAACCCTCCTCTTGAACCACACATGTTTCTTTTTTCTTTTCTTTTTTTTTTTTTTTTTAAGATTTTGTTTATTTATTTGACAGACAGAGATCACAAGTAGGCAGAGAGGCACACAGAGGGAGAGGGGGAAGCAGGCTCCCAGCTGAGCAGAGAGCCCGATGCAGGGCTTAATCCCAGGATCCCGGGATCATGACCTGAGCCGAAGGCAGAGGCTTTAACCCACTGAGCCACCCAGGCGCCCCACCACACATGTTTGAACCCCCTTGGTTGAATACCACTAAGTACCTGATTTCCTGGCAGATTGATTTTTCAAGTTCACACATTTTCTTTTATCTTCTATTTACAGACTTCTGCTTCTTAGGTAAAAGCAACCTGTTGTCTAATACCTGCTATATGTCAGGCACTGTATTGGGTTTTGTACATTACACATTACCTTTTATAAAGGAAGTATTGGCTACATTTTATGGATGAGGAAACTAAAGACCAGAGATGATTAATAATTTGTCTAGGGTTCATAAAGGTTGTAAATTATTTATGAATTATTACTACAAATTAAGAAAAGTAGTTTTATGGCCTTTGTGATTAATTTGGCCCTCATTACTCTATGGGGTTCACATGGAAACTTTGGCTCAAGGGTGTGAATACTTGTCAGGGCTTAGGGAGGATTCAGTATATAGTTCCCAGGTCTTCTCCACATTTCCAGAGTAAGTTAGCAGTGAAGTAGGGTTAATGTTGGTGAAGCGACTTTTAGGTTGTTGAGTAAATATCAGTGTTCCT